GTTTTGACGGCCAAGCGCAGGGATGAGAAGACATTGAGATGGAATGAGCTCAAGATGTTGGAGGACGAGAACTGTAAATCCAAGTTAGCGACCGAAGATAGGAAGTTGAAGGAGGATGAGCGTAGTCTTGCACTCGAGGAGGAAAGGCTTTAAAATGCAAATAAACCAAAGACCATGCTATCATGTTCATGAAATTAACCACAATGGATGATACCGTAAAAAAGTTTGGGGAGCTCACTCATGGCGAGATCTTGACCCAAAGGGAGGTCCCTCTTCGTAATGGTGGTGGTAGTGGTGGCCGATAGGATGGTGGCCTAGAGGATGGTGGTGGTGGTCGACGAGAGGATGGTGGTGGTGATGATGGTGATGATGGGGGTGGCCATGTGTATGGCGGTGCCACTCTCCTGCTCGCCAAGACTCCATCTTGGCCGAGCCACCACAATTCTGCTGCCACCAACATTCCGTGGGCTCGCGTCGCCGCCTCCAGACGGCGCTGCCACCTCCAAAGCTCAACAACGCCAGCTCTGTCCAGGACCGCCGTCGCACGAATCCTCCAGTCGCACAACGGCAGCCAGCCCCCGCAACTGGCCGACGCGGAATAGGCCAGATCGAGCCCCGGCGCAAAGAGCGTCGTGCCGCCACTGTCCCGCGCACTCCGCCGTGACGCGACATCACCGGCCAGCAGGCCGTGCCGCCCCGCACCGCCACCGCCTGCGCGCCACCCGCCGCGCTAGGGCACCGAGATCCGCCGATGTGCCCGAAGAGGAACCCCCCGCGGCCCCTGATACAGGTGAGGGCGAAGAGATCCCGCCGTCGTCAGCACCGCTCGGGCTTTGCCTGGCGGCGCCCGCTGACGGCGGCGGGGGGAGGGGAAGAGGGTGGGGGCTAGGTCTGGCGGCGGCTAGGATTCGGCACCCGGGTCGCCCGGGCAATTCATAATTGACAATCAGGTGCAATTTTTTTATTTATCACCACCAAAATGGCGTCGGCAACCACCTGGCCGGCCCAACATGCCCTCTTCTTCGAGGATGCAGATGTCTGTTGGGAATAAGCCGTGGCGGAGCACGGTATGGCTGGTGTCAAGTGCGCCAGGTCGGGTTCTTGGCAGTGCGATCGGCGTCGGTGCGTGCAGCTGGTCGGGTCTATGGGCTGGGTCACGGCGGTGGCTGTACGTATGTGAGTATGAGTGAAGTGCGTGTGTGCGCATGTGTGTATGGCCGCAGCGTGCGCGTTGGAGGGCGTTGTGTGCGGACGAAGCGTTCGGATCAAGCACCGTGCATGTAGTTAGCTAGTAAGTAGTTAGTTCGTGGGTTTGTTAGGTGGACGCAGTGTTTTAAATAGCAGGCCATGCTAAATAATGACGGACCTTCAAATCAGCAATAGCCGAGCTATAGAGAGCTATTTTGTATATAAGATCATTTAGGGCATCTTCAATAGTTGTAAGATAGTTGTTGGTAGACTTTGCCATATAGGGTTTTTGATGATGTGTCATGCAATAAATGAGGGAAGAGAAGAAAGTTGTATGTACATGAACCAACATCCCTTGCACAAGCTCCGATGTAGAATGATATCTCACATCCGAACACCTTATTTATTGCCTCACATCCTATTGGGCAAACTAGATACAATCCATTGAAGTTGTTGTATGTTAAGGTGTTGGTTGATGACATGACATATTTTACCAACAAGCTAACATACAAACTATTGAAGATGTTCTTAGCAACATCCTGCTGAAAAGGCTATAGCGGGCTACAACAAAGCTATAGCCGGCTATTTAAAGCTATGGCTGGACGCCAAGGTCGTGTGGCTCATGCGGTTAGTGGCCAGCATGGTGCAGCGGCTATGCATGCGTGCCTGAGGCTAAGGCTACTTAAAGATTTGTAAGCTGGCAGTCAAAAGGAGGTGCAAGCGCTTGTGCTCCGGGGGCATTAGTTGCCAGAAAACTATCTTCTTGTGTTCTTTCGTCCAGCTCCGAGAGAGAGAGAGCAAGTTTAGGGTCAGCTCCTACAATGACAGTGTCGCGGCGGGTGCTCGTGCTCGTCCGCCTCTCACCGGCCTCCCTCGCCGTCCTTGGTGCCCGCTTTCACCTCCTCGACCTCCACGCCTCGCCGCTACCCATGGACGCATTCCTCGCGGCCGCAGCTGCCGACAACGACGACCCACCGCGTGCTGCCCTTATCCCTGGCCATGGGAGCGTCTGCGTCGACGCGGCGTTCCTCGACGCCGTCCCGTCGCTGCGCTGCGTCCTGTTCAACAGTGCAGGGTTGGACCACGTTGACCTCCTCGAATGCGAGCGCCGCGGGGTCGGCGTGGCCAACGCCACAGGGGTCTACTCGGCCGACGTCGCTGACTACGCCGTAGGCCTCCTGATCGATGTGCTCCCGCGCGTGTCTGCGTCCGACAGGCACGTCCGGCGCGGACACTGGCCGGAGCGCGGCGGCCACGGGTTCACGCTCGGCAGGAAGCGCGTGGGCATCATC